CACCTGCTTTGGGTTTACTGGTTTCAAGAAGTACTGTCTGATGTGAGCCATGCCTCGCAGAAAAGAGCTCTCAGAAGACCTACGATCAATAATTGTTGACTTGCATGAAGCTGGAAAGGGTTACAAAAGTATCTCCAAAAGCCTTGATGTTCATGTGTCCACAGTAAGACAGACTGTCTACAAATGGAGAAAGTTTAGCACTGTTGCTACTCTCCCTAGGTGTGGTCGTCCTGTAAAAATGACTGCAAGAGCACAGCGCAGAATGCTGCATGAGGTAAAGAAGAATCCCAGAGTGTCAGCTAAAGACCTACAGAAATCTCTGGCACATGCTAACATTTTTGTTGACACATCTACAATAAGGAAAACATTAAACAAGAATGGAGTACATGGGAGGACACCACGGAGGAAGCCATTGCTGTCCAAAAGGAATATTATAGCACGTTTGAAGTTTGCAAAAGAGCACCTGGATGTTCCACAGCACTACTGGCAAAATATACTGTGGACAGATGAAACCAAGATTGAGTTGTTTGGGAAGAACACACAACACTATGTGTGGAGAAAAAAAGGCACAGCACACCAACATCAAAACCTCATCCCCGCTGTAAAACATGACAGAGGGAGCATCATGGTTTGGGGCTGCTTTGCTGCCTCAGGGCCTGGACGGATTGTTGTCATTAATGGGAAAATGAATTCCAGAGTTTATCAAGACATTTTGCAGGAAAACGTACGACCATCTGTCCGCCAACTGAAGCTCCGTAGAGGATGGGTGATGCAACAGGACAATGACCCAAAGCATACAAGTAATTCAACAAAACAGTGGCTGCAACAGCACAGAATACGCCTTCTGGAGTGGCCCAGTCAGAGTCCTGACCTCAACCCGATTGAAATGCTGTGGCATGACCTTAAGAGAGCGATTCACACCAGACATCCCAAGAATATTGCCACACTGAAACAGTTTTGTGAAGAGGAGTGGTCCAAAATTACTCCAGATCATTGTGCAGGTCTGATCTGCAACTACAGGAAACGTTTGGTTGAGGTTATTGCTGCCAAAGGAGGGTCAACCAGTTATTAAGTCCAAAGGTTCACATACTTTTTCCTCCCTGCACTGTGAATGTTTACATATTATGTGCAATTAAACCATGGCAACATCTAATGTTTGTGTAGTATTATGTTCAGCAGACTGTGTTCTTCTATGGTTGTGACTTAGATGACGTTCAGAGCACATTTTATGCCCAATTCATGCAAAACTCCACGTAATCCCAAGGGGTTCACATACTTTTTCTTGCAACTGTACTACCGAGGGAGCCATAACATATGCAGAGTTTCCCACTGGCAAGGTACCAGCTGGGATACCTACAGGGGAAGCCACAAAAGACCTTACCCCTGGCATAGTGCCAGCTGGGACTGTCACCCCCCCCCAATTTCCGCAGGAGATTCCACACAACTAATGTCCCCATTATGCACACTCTCTGCCAGAGGACAAGCTTTCTCCTGCGGCTCCACCACTATCCCCCCTGGCTCCTGCGCTTTCTTTACCAGCGAACTGGGCATTCTTTCTAGGTGCACAAACACCAACTTTTCTTTTTCCATAGGCTTTACTGCCTTCGGGCAAAAATCCTCCTCCTCATCCTCAATATCCTCCGACAAGAAGGAGAAATTCCTGCCCCCCAATGGGGACTCCAACTCCGATATAAATTGCATCATGCCGGCGCTTTCCTCCGGTCCCTCCAGGGATCCCCAATCCGGCCGTTCCTGCTGCTGTTGCTGCTGCTGCGGTGAGATGGATTCCGGCTCCATACTTTCCACTGCTGACACACACTCCCCAGCTTGCTGTAAGCCGCTAGACGCAGGTTCACTTGCATCTCCAAAGGAATCTGACAGGTCTCCCAAAGATCCTTTCTCACTGGTCTGCCCTCTTGCTGCTGCCAGAGACCGCTCACGGGCATGCCTATAACGATCTTCATTGCTATATTTCTCACGAAAAATCCCACTTGCTGCCTTTAGGGAGGAGACCAAACTGGCCTGCTGGCGTACCGCCAGCTCCATGGACTCCAATTCAGGACCCATCACTTGCTTCTTAGCGCTCCTGGCCCTCTCAAAGCTGGCTTTAAACCTCTTTGGGTCTCCCTTCATTCTGGTCAATTTCTCCTCCTCTCTTCCAATCCGGGCCACATGGGCCGCAACACGGCCTCGGTAAGAGGCATATGACTCATTCCTTTTGGGCCCTTTTCCCAGGTCCTCAATGGGTGGTAGGCCAGGACCGGTACTCAGTGCCTCTGGGGAAGGACCCCCACCTGGATCACAGCCGGGCTCCGCCATGGAGCAAAGGGCCTAGACCCAAAATTGAGTCCCAGGCCCAGATGAGGCATCCACAAACCTCAGAGCACTCACACACACTGCTTCCAGTGACCACACCCACAGGAAACAGGAAAAGGAAGTTGGATGTTCCCAAAGTGCTGTATCAAAGCACATTCATAGAAAGTTATGTGGAAGGGAAAAGTGTGGAAGAAAAAGGTGCACAAGCAGCAGGGATGAGAGGATTGTCAGGAAAAGGCCATTCAAAAGTGTTGGGGACTTTCACAAGGAGTGGACTGAGGCTGGAGTCAGTGCATCAAGAGCCACCACACACAGACGGATCCTGGACATGGGCTTCAAATGTCGTATTCCTCTTGTCAAGCCGCTCCTGAACAACAAACAACGTCAGAAGCGTCTTACCTGGGCTAAAGAAAAACAGACTTGGTCTGTTGCTCATTGGTCCAAAGTCCTCTTTTCTGATTAGAGCAACTTTTGCATCTCATTTGGAAACCAAAGACCCAGAGTATGGAGGAAGAATGGAGAGGCACACACTGCAAGATGCTTGAAGTCCAGTGTGAAGTTTCCACAGTCTGTGTTGATTTGGGGAGCCATGTCATCTGCTGGTGTTGGTCCACTGTGCTTCATTAAGTCCAGGGTCAAAGCAGCCATCTACCAGGAGATTTTGGAGCACTTCATGCTTCCTTCCGCAGGCGAGCTTTATGGGGATGCTGACTTCATTTTCCAGCAGGACTTGGCACCTGCCCACACTGCCAAAAGCACCAAAACCTGGTTCAATGACCGTGGGATTACTGGGCTTGATTGGCCAGCAAACTCGCCTGACCTGAACTCCATTGAGAATCTATGGGGCATTGCCAAGAGAAAGATGAGAGACATGAGACCAAACAATGCAGAAGTGCTGAAGGCCGCTATTGAAGCATCCTAGTCTTCCATAACACCTCAGCAGTGCTACAGGCTGATAGCTTCCATGCCACGCCACATTGAGGCAGTAATTGCTGAAAAAGGGGCCCAAACCAAGTATTGACTACATATGCGTGCTTATACTTTTCAGAGGTCCAATATTGTTCTATGTACAACCCTTGTTTTATTGATTGCATGTAATATTCTAATTTTCTGAGATTGTGGATTTGGGGTTTTCATGAGCTCTAAGCCATAATCATCACAATTATGACAAATCACGGCTTGAACTATCTTGCTTTGCATGTAATGAGTCTATCTCATATATTAGTTTCACCTTTTAAGTTGCATTACTGAAATAAATTAACTTTTTGCACGATATTCTAATTTTTCGAGTTTCACCTATATATAGCGCTGTGCTTTGGCAACAATACAGGGAATTTGTGTCCCGTTCCTGCAAAAATCGAGTCGGGCTGAGCTCTGCTCAGCCATTCATAGGAAGCCTAGCATTTTCATGAATGAATACAAAGCATCCTCTGACTGAAGTATAGACCGTGATATCATCTGCCCACCTCTCCACCTCAGCCAATCAGAGGAAGCTTTGTATTCATAGTTCCTGATTTTTAAAACTCAGATTACTCACACACTTACAAACTTACAGTAAGTGGAACAGAGGGAAGTTCCTCTTCATGAACTTCGTGATTTAACAATGAAACTGCATCCATGTCTGTTTTTCCATCTGCCACTGCGTGAGGAGTTACAGTATCTCCAGCTGGTGTGACATTGTTTGCTGTTCAGTAAACACAATAACTCAGATTAGATACATATTATATGATTTCCAGTTTTATTTACCAAAGTTCTGGAACACAGGGGAGCAGATGAGAAGATGAAGATTAAAATCACAGGAAACTTACTGTCACTAGGTTGTTCTAAAAGGTTTGTCTTCTCAGACTGCTCATTCAGCTCCTCCATATCATCACGGTTAGTTTCTTCTTCATGTAAAACACCATTTACTTTCAGGAGTTCTTCAGGTTCTAAAAAGGCAACAAAACATTCAATGTTTTAAAGTAGAGTAAGGATAGAGTAAGGGAGGGCTATAACCCCGTCCTATTAGGGAGATTTACCTTCACTTCCTGTCTCACAGTGAAAACAGGATGTGAGAAGAAATCTCTGCAAATTAGAATACTCTCTTGGTCACCAGAATTAGTGTCCTCATTAAAAAATTTCCCCTCTGTTACCTTTCTGGGGACCATCCAAAATTTGGGATTTGCTATTACTTTCATTTTCAATGACATTGGTAAACAGAACAAATAGAGAGGGTGAATCTCCATAACGGGGATACAGAAAGCAATAAAAACGGACAGGAATTCTAATCCATCTCTACTTTGTCCAAAGCTATTTGAACAACAGTCTTCTCATAAGTTTATTTGTGAATTTGGCGTATTTTATGCATTATTTAACTATAAAAGCCCCCTTGTTTAGACATTCTAAATCCCTGAGACCGCAGCTGTGCACTGCCATCTTGGATGTTATGATGTCAGCAGCCCATGTAACTAACATGTTCCTAAAGGTGAATTTATCCTTTAACCACCTCCCGCCCACCATATAGTAATATGACAGACGCAAGGTGGTTCTTTCGTTCTGGGAGGACGTCATATGATGTCCTCCCATTCTCACCACGCATGCGTGGCTCAGGGAGCATGCAGAGCGGCGATCGGTGGTGCGCTGTGTCCCTCGGACACAGCGGTTCACCGAGCACGGAAAGAGCCGAAGATGTCGGCTCGGTCATGTGATCAGCTGTGTTCAATCACAGCTGATCACATGTAAACAAGGAAATGCCGGTTATCGGCATTTCTCTCCTCTCGATGTTACGCTGACAGCTCAAGAGGAGAGGAGAGCCAGTAATTGGCTTTCTGCGGATGGGACATGTACACTGATCATCAGGGCACTGAAAATCAGTGTGCCCTGATGATCAGTGTAGCCCCAGCAGCGCCAACTGTCAGTGTCCATCAGTGCCTTATGTCAGTGCTCATCAGTGCCTCGTGCCAGTGCCCATCAGTGCCACATCAATGCCACATATCAGTGCCTACCAGTGCACATCAATGCCACATAACAGTGTCCATCTGAGCTGCCTTTCAGTGTCACCCATCAGTGCCAATCAGTGCCACCTATCAATGCCAATCAGTGCCGCCTATCAGTGCTGCCAATCAGTGCCACCTATCAGTGCCAGTCAGTGCCGTCTATCAGTGCCGTCTATCAGTGCCAGTCAGTGCTGCCTATCAGTGCCGCCTATCAGTGCTGCCTTTCAGTGCCCATCAGTGATGCCTGTCAATGCCCATCAGTGATGCCTGTCAATGCCTCCTCATCAGTGCCCATCAGTGCCACCTATCTGTGTCCATCAGTGCAGTCTATCAGTTCCCATCACTGCAGCCTCATTAGCACATATCAGTGAAGGAGAAAAATCACTTATTTACAAAATGTTATAACGAAAACTAAGAAAAAAAATTTTTTTTTCAAACTTTTCAGTGGTTTTTGGTTTGTTTAAGAAAAAATAAAAAACCCAGAGGTGATTAAATACCACCAAAATAAAGTTCAATCTGTCACAAAAAAATGATAAAAATTTCATATGGGTACAATGTTGCATGACCGCGCAATTGTCATTCAAATTGCGACAGCGCTGAAAGCTGGAAATTGGCCTCGGCAGGAAGGGGGTATAAGTGCCTTGTAGGCTAGCGGTTAAAGATAGGTAAGTATCCAGATTTTTTTTTCTATAAAGGTTAGGCAGGATTGGTAAGAGGAAGGAGAAGAGAACATTTTAAGAATATTTAGACTTAGGCTTTTCTTCCACTTTAAAGCCCAACTCTAGAGTGGACAGTCCCCTTGGAGTACACCGCCAAATCCGTATATTTTTCTTATTTTAAAGCGCAACTTCACCCAAATGGGGTAGTTCAGCTTGTTTGCCTCCTGCCCACCTTCATTCCCACACTTGGCATTTTTTGGGGGGAGCGGGTACCTGGTTTTGAGAGGCACCCACTCCCCCTTCTGGTAAGATTGTTGCAGCAATCTTTCGGCCCGTCCTCCTCCAACACCCCTGCCTCCCCCCATCCAGCATTCTGGGAGACAAACAGATCCTAGAAGACTGTGGAACCAGTCACACAGTGCAGTGCAGCCCATGCATGCGCAGTAGGAAACCAGCTGTTTCCCTTACCCAAGATGCCGGCTCCTGCTCCCAAATCTGACTAAAGAACTGGCTAAGGTGAGAACATTGTTGGATCCCTGGACAAGTAAGTGTCCTTATATTAAAAGACAGTAACTACGGTATTTGTAGCTACTGACTTAATTTTTTGGGGGGAGCTCCACTTTAATTAACCATACTTTTTTTTTTTTTTTTTAATCTCTTCAGTCCAGTCATCTGATGTCCCCAGTCCTCATCCTGCAGAAGTGCTGAGTAAGGGCCCATTTAAACCACATCCATTGGGATGCATAAAAACCAACTGAAATCCATTGTTTTGAGATTGTCTGCATTGCTTTGATATGCACTGAAAAAAAAATGGAGCATTCTGCATTTAGATGTAGATCACCATGCTGCAACATGCTACAACACACCTTGGCACATCACAGTACACTGCAGCGCACATTAGGGAAAACAAAATAACTTTCTTTGGCTTTTGCTGTGGAGAAAAATGCACATTAAAAGGTACTTTCACACTGATGTACTTTTTATGCAGCTTTGGGCCCTTCACACTGATGCCCCTTTAGTGCAGCTTCGGGCCCTTCACACTGATGCCCCTTTTGTGCAGCTTCGGGCCCTTCACACTGATGCACATTTTGTGCAGCTTCGGGCCCTTCACACTGATGCACCTTTTGTGCAGCTTCGGGCCCTTTCACACTGATGCACCTTTTGAGCAGCTTTGGGCCCTTCACACTGATTATTATTATACAGTATTTATATAGCGCCAAAAGGTTTGCTCAGCGCTGTACATTATAGTGGGGGACAATACATGAGACAGTACAGTAACAAAACAATACATGAGGGGTTCGAGAGCCCTGCTCTTTCGAGCTTACAATCTAGGAGGGAGGGGATAGTGGTACAGGAGGAAGTGGCTGTGGGGGATGGAGTGGTAGGAGGAGTGGAGGAGATCGGATTTTAAGTGAGGGTGGGGTAGGCTTCCCTGAAGAGATGGGTTTTCAGGGTGCGCCCGAAGGTGAGGAGGGTAGGTGACAGTCTGATGGATTGGGGTAGAGAGTTCCAGAGGATGGTGGAAGTCCTGGAGAAGTCCTGCAGTCGGGCGTGGGAGGAGGAGACCAGGGAGCTAGAAAGTAGGAGGTCTTGTGAGGAGCGAAGATTATGGGTTGGGTGGTATTTGGGTATCAGGTCGGTGAGGTAGTTTGGGGCAGCGTTGTGAATGGCTTTCAATGTCAATGTTAGTATTTTGAATTTAATGCGTTGGTCAATCGGGAGCCAGTGGAGAGCATGACAGAGGGGGGTGGCAGAAGTGGAGCGGTTGGTAAGGATGATGAGTCTGGCCGCTGAGTACAGGATAGCCTGTGTTGGGGTAGGCCGGTGAGAAGGGAGTTGCAGTAGTCCAGGCGTGAGATAGTAAGGGAGTGAACAAGTTGTTTAGTAGTGTCTGGGGTTAGGAATGTCGTATCTTGGAGATGTTGCGGAGGTGGAGCCTGCATGAATTTGCCAGCGATTGGATATGGGGTTGGAAAGATAGGTTTGAGTCTAGGGTGACACCTAGAACTTTGGCTTGCGGGGTGGGATTGATGGTGGCGTTCTTGGTCGTGATGGAGAGGATGGGGGGGGGGGGGGGCGGGCTGGGGGGAAAACTAGGAGCTCGATTTTAGAAAGGTTCAATTTGAGTAAATGGAGCGACGTCCAGTCTGAAATGTCGTTTAGCAGGTGGGTGATACGGGCGGAGACTGGAGGGGTGAGGTGAGGGGTGGAGACGTAAATTTGCGTGCCTCTATCAGCATAGAGGTGATAGTTGAAGCCGTGGGAGTGTATCAGTTTGCCGAGGGAGGAGGTGTAGATGGAGAAGAGAAGGGGCCCGAGGACAGAGCCTTGGGGGACCCCAACAGAGAGGGGGAGAGAGGGGGGGGGAGGTGGTAGCGTTACAGGTAACGCTGAAGGAGCGTTGGGATAGATAGGAGGAAAGCCAGGAGAGAGCAGAGTCTCTGATGCCAAGGGAGTGTAGTTTATTAAGGAGGAGGGGGTGGTCAACTATGTCGAAGGCCGCGGAGAGGTCAAGGAGTAGGAGGACTGAGTAGTGGCCATTAGCTTTGGCGGTTAGCAGGTCGTTAGTGATTTTGAGTAGGGCGGTTTTCGGTGGAGTGTAGGGGACGGAAGCCAGACTGTAGAGGATCGAGGAGGTTGTTGCCAGTGAGGTGGGAGCTTAGGAGATTGTAGACTAAGCACTCAAGGAGCTTGGATGTGAATGGCAGCAGGGAGATGGGTCTAAGGTTGTTCAGGTCGGTGGGGTCCAGGGAGGGTTTTTTGAGTATGGGGGTATGTGCGCGTGCTTTTGGGGGGAGGGGAATACGCTAATAGAGAGGGAGAGATTGAAGATGTGGGTGAGGGAGCGTAGGATGGAGGAGGAGGGTGACCGGAGGAGTTGTGTGGGGACAGGGTTAAGGGGGCAAGTGGTGAGGTGGGCTTCTGAGAAGACCTTAGTGACCTCCTCAGTGGTAGCAAGGCTGAAGGAGCGGAGTGTTGGGGAGGTTATAGTGTGCGGGATGTTAGGTGTGGTGGGGGGGGGGCAGGGCGGTTGCGAGGTCAGAGGAGGGGAAAGTTGATGGGGTAATGGTGGGAGGGAGGCTAGGTGGGGAGGTAGATTGAGTATTGGCAATGTCCTTACGGATTGCGTCAATCTTGTTTTGGAAGTGATTGGCAATCTCGTGGGCGGTGAGTGAGGTACTGGGTGGGGGGGGGAGAAAGTAGGGAATTGAAAGTGGAGAAGAGCCGGCGAGCACAGGTGGAGAGGGTGTCGATGAGGGTTACGAAGCAGGCTTGCTTGGCGGCGTGGAGGGAGGAGGTGTAGGTGAGGAAGACGGAATTGTAGAAGGAGAACGCTCGAGGGGATCTGGTTTTGCACCATAATCGCTCCAGCGCGCGACTGCGTCGTTTGATGCACCTTTTGTGCAGCTTGGGGCCCTTTCACACTGATGCACCTTTTGTGCAGCTTTTGGCCCTTCACACTGATGCGCCTTTTGTGCAGCTTCAGGTCCTTACACACTGATGCGTCTTTTGTGCAGCTTTGGGCCCTTCACACTGATGCGCCTTTTGTGCAGCTTCGGGCCCTTCACACTGATGCCCCTTTAGTGCAGCTTCGGGTCCTTTCACACTGATGCGTCTTTTGTGCAGCTTCGGGTCCTTTCACACTGATGCGTCTTTTGTGCAGCTTCGGGCCCTTCACACTGATGTGCCTTTTGTGCAGCTTTGGGCCCTTTACACTGATGCGCTTTTTGTGCAGCTTCAGGCCCTTTCACACTGATGCGCCTTTTGTGCAGCTTTGGGACCTTTCACACTGATGCGCCTTTTGTGCAACTTCAGGCCCTTCACACTGGTGCACCTTTTGTGCAGCTTTGGGCCCTTTTTATACTGATGCGCTTTCGATGCATTCCCATTGACATGGGCATGCATGCAGGACTTTTCAAAGCGCAGCGCACCTGCAATTTGGAGAGTTATGTAGGATGTAATGGGGAATAGTTTTCACATGCTTTTGTTGCCCTGGAAAAAACAGCAAAAGCATACCAGTGTGAAAGGGCCCTAAGGCCCCTTTCACACGGGTGTTCCATTTTTTTCACCAGTTCAGTCATATTTTTTCAAGAAAAAATGGATCAGTTCTCATCAGTTTTTCATCAGTTTACATCAGTTATTCATCACTTTACATCGGTTTTTCATCAGTTTACATTAGTTTGTCATCAGTTTACATCCATTTTTCATCTGTTTATATCCGTTTCTCATCCGTCTACATCCATTTTCTGTCTGTTTACATCCGTTTTCATCTTTTTTTTGTCAGTTTACATCGGTTTTTTGTCCCGTTACATTTTTTTAACAGGAGAAAAATAAAACAGATGTTAACGGATGTGGACATTAACGGATGTAAACAGATGATCATCCATTTACATCCATTTACATCGCAAGTCCATAGAAATACATGGGTGTCCTATTTTCATCCGTAAACGTACAGATGAAAACCGGACATTCATAACAACCATGTGAAAGGGGCGTTGGTGCAAGTGCATTTAATGCATACTAAACACAATGCACATGGTGCAAATCCAGCACTGTGTGCGCTGCGTCTGGCACGCATTCAATGCACTTGAATTGATGTGT